CCAGGTGCTCCACCTTGGAGAGGAGGGGTGGGGATGTTGGAGCTGTGGGAAGCCCCAGGCTCCCGTTCCGAGGTTCCCTGGGCAGGAAGGCAGCGCTCAGCATGAAAATCTTCATCACTCAGAAACTGCATGCTGCCCCTGCTAGGCATCTGCTTTCATTTCCTTCATCTCAGCCTGCTAGGATCTTCATTTCCACAGGGGGAGAAGGTCAGGACCTTTAGTCTGGATCTTTTCCCTGACAGGTCCTGGCCATCTGCTGCATCATTTGACTTCTGCAGGAAATTAGGGTCTTGAGCATTTCCAATCAGTTTTTGAAAAGCCTCCACTTGTGTTTGCTCTTCAGTAAACCATCATTACAAAATTAATCCTCTTGGGATCAAAGGAGTGAGACCTTTTTTACTGAGGTATTTTATAAACTAATGTACCTTGGTAATGTAAGGTCACTGAATTCTTATAGAATTTGGTTACAATTTGCTGTAATTGTCCATTTTCAACCTGGAAAAGACTCTCAAGCAACACGATACGCCACATTTATTATTTTCCAATACCTCACATCTGCTCCATTTTTGAGGGTATTGTTTACACTGCTGTGGGCCTCATAACCAAATTGCTGTTTACTGAAAACATTATTTTATGAGTGAATGGAACTCGTGATTTCCTGTAATAGCCAAGTGCAGTGATAGAAGGGTCTGACTTTTATCAACTCAATTGTTGCTGACCCATGGGTGGGAGCCAGCAGAGCCTGGGGATGGCCCTGAAATGTCACCCTGCACCTCTCACTGTCTCCCCAAACACACAGGGCAGCCCCTTCAGCTTGGTTAGCAATGCAGATCTTCCTCAACACTCAATCATTTGGTTTATTTAAGGTAAATACGAAGCAGTTGTGCTGTTGCTGCTGCCATGGTGCCAGTCACTGAGTATCATTCCATGAATTCAATAATTCCATGCCAGGCTCAGACAAATTCAGTTTGTTGTTGTTTCAGTGTTGGGTGATTTTGTGGTGCTGGTTAAAACCTCTCACATCAGAGCTGTGCTGGACCCTCACAGTGATCTTTTATTTTGTAAAAATGAGCTGCAGCTCCTTGTAGCCACCTACAACATGGATGTGCCTGTTGGGGCTTAGCAACACTTTCCTGCCCTGCTAACTCCTTTATTCTGGAGCTGGTTGGAGCTGAGGTTGGATTTCTTTGGGATGGATTTGCCATTCTGAGCTCAAACTCGGCTCCAGGCTGGGATCACAGCTCCCACCTGCTGGGTGTGGGATGAGGGCTGGGCTGTGCCAAAGGCTGGCTGGGCTGTTTGGGACCTGCTGGAAATGCATCAGACAGATATGAGGCCAGACAATGGGAGATTGTGCAGAAATCTCACGGATTTGGGCGTCCTTCCAGCCCCAGCAGAGGCAGGATTGTGAAGGTACGCAAATAGGATTATAAATCACCATTTGAAGAAGAGGACCTACTTACAGGAGTTTGTGAGAGGAAATAAATCCAAAAAGACCCATGGGGTTCTTTTTTCCCTCCTCTCACCAGAGAGAAAAATGTGTAATGAATGTCTCATGTCTGAAACACTGGGCTGGATTCATCAAAGGGAGTTAGTAATTACCAAATTGAGAGAATCATGAAGCGCTTTTCTAAATTTGAAAGGCTCATCAAGAATAGATCAGGAGCAGGCAAAATTAATAGTTATGAACTCATTTCCATAGAAATGGACTTATTAGCAAGCATGCCAGCTGCCTAAAATTATAAGGTCTTTTCCTTGTGCTTGCAGGAAATAATCTTTTTTTATAAAAGTAATTTTGACTTTTTATTTTTTATTGCTTCTCTAAACTAGAGTTTGGCAAAATCCTAAACCAGGAAAAAACTTCACTGGACAATAGAAATATTTAACTAAAAAGAGTGAAAATATACAGAAGGGAGAAGTGATTTATAGTCCTTGGATTCCATCAGACTCTCCCCAAGAGTTCAAACTTATTTAAGAGAAAAATGAAATGAGTCTCCAGGAAAAGCTGAAAAATCTTGATAGGATGAAGTTTGGTTTAGAGGGATTTAATGGCTGATAACAGCATGAGTTACAGTCCTTGTCTTCTCTTCTCTGGATTTTGCCACTGCTGGCATTTTGTCTTCTCCAGGCAGCTGCAGATGGACAGTGGCTACCAAGAGCAAGGTTCTGCTCCAAATCACACCAAGAGCTGAAGGTTTTAAAAGCAGGAACAAGTGCTTTTAAAAAGGGTTACAGTGATATGCTGCACAGGCAGGAGAGAAATTGAAATGCAGGTGTTGGGATGGGAATTTATCAGCTAATGGAGCTGACATAAGTAAATGCTGACATTTGAGGTCTTGATTATGGTTTAATTTATCTCTGGTTTTACTTTAGCAACCTCCATCAATTTCAGCAGAAAAAGGCAGTGGTCTCCCACATGGTATTACAGAGGATGGTTAATAAATTGCAGGAATTAGGAATGTAATACCAGCCTTTCTACCAGGAAACCTCTGTAGGATAAGAGATGCAGCAGGCAGTAGGTGAGCACTAGTCTGAACATGAAAGAAATCCACTTTTCAGGTTTTATCACGAGTTTGTTAGAGTTGTAACTTGGGAAGAAGCTCAGAACAAAGAGGGTGGATTCATCCGTGGGGTACTCGGTGTCCCAGATACCACAGCACCTGGCATTGCTCCAAGGCTGAATCTCTGAAGAGGACAAAAGAAGACCATGATTTTATATTAAATTCATTCATCTGCTGGGGAATAAGAGTGCAGAAAGCTGAATCCTGGTTTGCTAAAGCTGTGCACTCAGGGGGAGCTTTGGAGGTGAAAGATGGTTCAAGGCCATCTCTTTCAGCAGAGGCCCAGGAGAGAAGTGGAGCCTTCTTTAATCAATATTAATGTGTCATAATACATAATTGGCTATTGAGACAGAGCAGAAAACCTTTGACAAACCAAATTTGGTGTTGTTTTTCCAAGTGGTGATAAGGATTCTCTTAGGAAGCAGGATGGAGACTGGGAGAACAGCTTCATTTTAATTCCCCTGTTAATGTCGGTGCATCTGAGGGAGCTTTATGTATAAAATATTAACCCAGTATTGTGCTTTCTTTCTGGATATGTAAAAAGAAAAACAGGAGAGCAATAATTCAACTCTGAACTCAAAGAAGTGCCTGTCACTGGGACCATGGAATGGATTTGTCACTGCAGACTAACCTGACCTATTATTTAACTGGTGTCTCTGTACCCAAATCCTCCACTGGTGGATTTGTTCTCAGTTTGAAACCACTCCTGGCTATCTTTGTGAGTAAAAACTATTGGCCTGAACAGAATGAAGTGAAATTGCAGACCTAAGCATACCTTGATAGGCCAAATATCTAAATCCATAGTTATTGTAAAGCTCATATCTAAATTTTAGTTCTGTGTTGTGAGCAAATTAATTTTATGCAATTTAGATAGAACAGCTGGAGGTGATACACAGAAAACTATGAAGCTGAGTTTATGTTTTTAACAGAAATGGTTTAATTACATCCCTATTATTATGTAATAAAATTTATCTTAAGAGGTTTTTGCTGGTTGTCTGGTTGGCCACACAAAAAATGCCTTAATAGCTTCTAGTTTTGCCTGGAGGTGGATATCATCTTCTGTCAGCATGGAAAATATTTATCCTCCAGGCATTGAAGCATATGTTTAGGTTGTTTGTTAGAAAGAAAACACAAAAATCAATAATTCCTGCTCAGATTTTTTTTTTTCCCTTTACAATTCTCCTTCAAAACCATATGGCAAACCCAGATTCTGCCTCTGTGCATTTGGGAAGATGTTTTAAGTCCCTGTTGTCTGCAGCAGCAGCTAAAACTTCCTGTGAGCACAGCTCTTGGAATGGCTGCTTTGGGGAAGGACACACAGATAATGAATGTACCATTGGCCTGATGTACAGCAAATTCAGATGTTACCCCAAAATTTAATGAGTATTGATAAAATCAGGTGTTTCTCCAAGAGAAGAAGAGCTGGCTCTGCAGTCAGAGCCTTTCCATCCCCTCTCTGTGCCTGTGACCTCCATCAGGTCTCCACCCTGCAGGGTCTGTCTGGGAGTCTGGGGCAGGAACTTGAATTCTTTGTAAATATTTGTGTGTAAACTTTGTGTGATTTGTAAAACAAGTCAGTTTTTGGGGAAGTTTGGATGAGCAAAGGTCTGTTTTCTAAACAGATCCTTGCTGTGGATACGCCAAGTGTACTTGGTTAAATCTTGGTGTCTGTTTGCTTCGCTTAACACAAAAACACGATTTGTTTTTCTAACCTGAGGATTAATTATTAATATTTGCATAGCTTTGGACCTGAGGAAAGGGATAAGAGCTGTTGTTGAGAAAGGAAGCAGAAGTAATTCTTAAATTCAGTTCTCAATGCTGTGCATTTATATCCATTTCTTTACTTTTAAACTTTTATTTCCAGATGAGAAATATATGATTGCCATATAATTACAAGTCTGCACCACTGACGAGGAGAATGTTGTCATGAATTGAAAATAGGGATAATCTACCCCTCATTTATTGTCATGTATAATTTCTGCAAATCCATTTTTTCACTGAGATAAAGACCAGTTTGGGTTTGAAAGACTTTTTTTCCCTCCACAAGAGCTCATTTCTGGTAGAACATGAGGAATGGCCAAGTATTCTCTTGTTTTGCAGCATCAAAATTATAATAATGGTATATTAAATAATTTAGCGACATCTGTGCAATGCTTTTCCAAGGGTTTGTGGCTTATTCTGTAAGTTCATTGTGATTATGGAGAATGAATGCCTGAGTTTAATGGGAAAAATGCCTCCATTTCAGGAAACTAAAAGATACAGTTTCATCTTACTTAGAAAGTTCTGCAGTTGCCCATGTGCAGTTTTATTTAGGTTTCCCTCAGAGTCTCAAGTCTGCACGTTAAATTTAATCTACTGGTGAGGAGGGAAGAGGAATGAAAATCCATTTTGTTACCAACATCCCAGTGATGTTGTGGGGAATTCTGCCTTGTTTTCCAGAGCAAACATGACCTCCTACGAGATCCTGCAGATGGATTTTGAGATCGACAACGCCAGCAGCGTGGCAGGGGCCCAGCAGATCACCTGGCAGGTGGAATATCCACGGGACGACTCCGTCAGCGAGCTCGTGGTGTCCGAGATCTTCGTCAGCCAAACGATGTTCGTGGGAATTGTTCCCCTTGCCATGGTAAGAACCTGCTGCTCCTTTTTCCTGAGTGTTTTTGTAGGAATTGTTCCCCTTGCCATGGTAAGAACCTGCTGCTCCTTTTTCCTGAGTGTTTTTGTAGGAATCATTCCCCTTGCCATGGTAAGAACCTGCTGCTCCTCCCTTTTCCTGAGTGTTTTTGTAGGAATCATTCCCCTTGCCATGGTAAGAACTTGCTGCTACTCCTTTATCCTGAGTGTTTTTGTAGGAATTGTTCCCCTTGCCATGGTAAGAACCTGCTGCTCCTTTTTCCTGGATGTTTCTGCTGATGCTCGTTAGTATTCCAGGGAATGGGAGCCTTTTTATTATGAGCTGCTTCCTATGCACCTGCTGCAAGTGATTTAAATGCAAAAAATACATTTCAATAATATTTTATTTACCTGATGTTCCATAATGGCTCCTTGGAAACCATTTGGGTCTTTTGTGAAAATCCTTTCCCGTTTGTGGGTTATTGGCCTGGTTCATGGAAATTGCTCCTCTGGAGCCGTTGTCTTCTGCTGTGGGAATGGGACTGCCACAGCTCTGAGGGTAAATGTTGGCATTAGTGGGGACATTGAAATAAATTAGCATTGCATGTGTGGGAAAGCTCATTGCTAAACCAAACAACTGGACTGTTGTTTGCTGCTCATTTTCCCCAAAAGAGCCAAATAGTCCAGTGAGCTGCAAAGTATCAATTTAATAAAAGGCTTGGTTTGAGTTACACAGAAAGGATAAAATACTTCCTGAAGATGGAGGTGTCCTGCAGGTTTAAGGTGGACGTGTGCAGAAAACTTGAAGCTGATGATTTATTTAAGAAATGCAAATATCTCCTGGTAAAATCAGAGGCACCTTTTCTAGAAGGGACCTTTGACTTGTGTTTGGGCCTGGTGGGCTTTTTAGTCCCAGAGCTTTACACATGAACAAGGATTTCAGTGGGGAAATTCAGGTGTAAAACCAGAGAAACAGCCAGAGAGTCTGGATGTTACAGCACTTCCCTCAGAAGCACCCACCCTTTTCTACTTGCTTCCTCTTGAACATTTGCCCTTCCTTTCTGAGTCGATGTGTGCTGATTTTCTTTCTATTACAATATATAAACAGCAAAATATTGGTGTTTTCCTCTGCATGACCACTGGCATGACCAGAAGCAAGGAAAGATGCTTGTAATGGAAACAAGGCCCCCAAATACTTTTAATTTTCATTTCCCACTGCCACAGGCTACACTTGGCAGCCCAGTGATAGGGAAGAAATTACAGAAAAGTCAATAGAGAATTTTCTTCTATTCCCATTTTTTTTTTCTTTTTTGAAGAACGTAGGAGATGAAAGAAAGGTGGAGAAATTAGCTGGAAAATCCTCCAAATTAAAATGAACTTTAATTCTCAAATAATTCATTTCAATTTGAATGATCCTCCTATAATAAATCTCAGTTGTATTTATGGACATATTCAGTGAATTCCACATATGTAAATAAATAAAGCTTTTGCAATAATGAGAGAAAGTAAAACAAAATTTCATTTTGAAGGAGAACCTGCTTTCTGCACCACCTCACAGTTCTCCCCAGCTCCTTGAGCTCCCAGTAATTAAAAAATCCAGTCTCAGCAATTTTCTGTGACCTGAAACACATAAAATACATGAAATCCATCATCCTGTAGCTGCCAAAGTATTTTCTACTAAAAAAGGATTTGAATGGGCCTGCTTGCACAGGGGAAATAAATAAATGCTAATTCCTAAAACTCCGTGCAAATTAACAAATGAGCTTTTCCTAAAGTACTCTATTATTATTTAGTATTTATGTAGTGTTTTATATTTTCAGAACTCTTTGCAGACATTAATTAATCAGACCTGAATAAACTAAGCTTGATGAGAATAGAAAATTAAATGAAGTCACACTTACTTAGTTTTACCTGTTTCTGCATGACTTCTAAGTCCCCTTTTATATTCTTAAAGGTACTTTCCAAAACACTTAATCTTACAATGCTCTTACTTACTATCTCTAAAAGCTATTTTGGTTAGAAAAGAGGTAGAATTTATACCTTTAGGAACAAGTGGCAGCAGGGATGAGTGGCTTTGAAGGCTGTAAATGCTGTTTTGTCACCTAAACTCTTGTTTTGTTTAGGCTGAATTAATTCAGGTAAAAAAGCAGGTTTGGGAGGATTCCTTAGAAACTGGAATATTTAACTCCTGGAGGTTTCTTTGGAGGAGAGTGGAAGGAATATTTAGTTTTATCTAAGTTTTTTGTCATTACCTCTTGAGATAAAAAGTTGTTGAGAGATTTTATCTCTAGAAATGGCTCTGGGAGCTGCTGAGGAGGGAGGTTTGGAGATCCCCGCAGGTTTCTGGCTGCACCATCCTCCTGTGGGGCACAAATGTGGGACCTGCTCCATTTAACATTCCAGGATCCACTGTCAGGTGCAGACATCAGCCCCTTTGCCCCTGGGAGCTTCTCTCCTCCTCCTGTCGGTGGTGAACATCTCTGCTGATTGATTCTCCCAGCATCTGCTGTCCCAGTGAGCACGTGGAACTCCTGTCCCCCAAAGCAAAGGTGATCCATTCCCATCAAACACAGCACAATAACAGACCAAGCTGAGGAAAGCACAGCCAGAGCTCTTCTTGCTTCCTCTGTTTGTTCTGCTACTGAATATCAGGGGGAAAATCTGATTTTCTTCTTCTGCTGTTACCATTGCTGACTTTAAACACAGCAGGTGATTATTTTAAAATAAGGCTTATGGCACTGAAATAGGATGGGAGTTGTGAATCTGGTTGATGTCTGATGCAGCAGAAGGTGTGTTTTAGGCATCCAGAAGGTCCAGCAGAACATTCTAAAGTTGGATCTGAGCTAGACAGCTTGATTTGTCTTAATATAAAAATGTGATATAATAATCTTGCAAAGTGGAAGTGGATGTCCTGCTAATTACAGAAACTGATAGCACAGATAAATCTGTTCTGTCCAGTGATGATATAATTCTGTAATTCTCAGTTACTGCTCTTGATCTAGGCAGGCATCATCTGCAGTTTCCATAGTTGTGGAGAGTTGCTGGTAGCAAGGTCATCAGTGGAGTCTGACACTCCTGGGATGCAAAAAACAAACACTTCCCCAGCTTTGAGTCTGTCATCCAGGTTTCTGTCACAAACAACTGTGATTTGATTAATCTGTTATCTAACCAACACTTGGCAAAAATATAAAGAAAAAGAGAAAAAAATTAAAATCCAGGTCTTTTACAGAGTTTCCAGGCAACCAGGAACTTAGTTAAAGTAAAGAACAAGACATTGAAGAGATGTATTTTAACTGGTTTTTATAAGAAGGCTCCAGCTGAGGCTGAAGGCTTGAGGAACAATAGATTTAATCATAGAAAAATACCTGGTGTTGTCTTTTTTTCTGGGAAAACGATGGCTTGGTCTGTGACTGGCAGTGCTGCTCTTTTAGATGTCCATGCTGCAAATCCTCTCTGGTGTAGGAAGGGAATTGTGAGCCCCAGACTGTCATTATTCCAAAGCTTTTTCCAAATGCAACAATCAACATTTCCCCAGGACTCTGTGCCCCTCAGCCCCAAACATTTCTCTATTTCCTACAAGTATTTGAACTGTATCTTCAGGAATTTTGTTTCCTCCCCCAAAACTGGGAGCTATTGGTTGAGTAATGGTTTCCTGACGTTGTGAATCACTTAAATAGGAGGTTGGATAATCGCATTTCTGGTTGATGCCAGACAAGAACACCCAGAAAAATTGTCCTTAAATGTGCCCATTTCTGTAACTCAGGCTGAAATGGGATTGCTGAGAGCAACACTTGGCTGATTTGTTCAAGAAAAAAAAACTTGAAAGAATTTATTTTTCCTACAGAAATCATGGTTTGCTAATGGAATTTATATTCAGACACCAATTAAAGGAGCACACTCAGCCCAAGGTGGAAGCTGAGCCAGACTTAGAAAGCAGCTTACCTGCACCTTAAACTAAAAGGGAAAATGACAGGCTGTACCAGCTTTTCCTTTGCTTGCTCTGGTGTTGGGCATAAAAACCAAACCCACTTAATTCTGGAATATAAAAACCAGGATAGGAACAGTCATTTCCAGCAAACCCAGATGATTTACATATTTTTCAGAAGTTGGTTAAATTCATTTATGTGCAAAATCGTCCCCTATGTGTTTATCCATTGCACTTAATGCATATTTCTTACTTGAGTCACTCTGACCTTTGGCTTTGCAGTTCCTTTTTAACAGTGCCTTTCTGTTGTACTTTGCATGCAAAGGAACCTGCCCAGAATGGGATTTTGTCCTTCCCAACATTTCCTAGAAAAAAATATTTAAATGCAAATTCAATCTAGAGTAGATCTTCATCCCAGAAATATTATAGGGATTATCAACATTGTTTTTAAATAAAACTGGAATCTGTGGCTCCCAGATCACGGATCTTGGTGTGAATTTTAACACTGATTAATGGCAGTGGGATTGAAGCCTCGAGCTTTCCTAAAATCCCACACTGGCAGGATCGATTTTATACTCAGACCAAATTAACTACTGTGGAGAGAGTACAGAATAGGAAAAAATAGATTCTTCTTTTGTATTACTTTATTTCCCATGCCCATAGTGAGTGTTTTATGTCCCTGTAGCAGAGATAGGATCTCGTGCAATTATTACCATCTCCAAATTAATTGTCATAGAGAATGAAATGGTTTTGTTTTGTCAGGCTGCTCTGAAAACCACAGGGTGAATTTTATGGAGAAAGATGAAATTTTAAGAGATTTCTTGAAACACATCAACCAAAACACAAAGCACTGAAGGTTTTATTAAGTTTGATCAGGGGAAGGCTTTGACTGAAGCACTCTGGGAGAGAGATGTGTGGGAGCAGATGTGAGGAATGCCCACATGAGCTTTGGGGGATTTCAGTTTGCATTGTGATCACACACACCCTGAAATGCTGTTTTAGTGATCAAAGCTGTTTAACAGCAGCTAAACTCATTTATTTGTAGAACTGAGGTGTCTGATTCAACTTGATTAAATGACAGAATTGGA